CCATACATGCTAGCTACGGCCCTGATGGAGCGTGTAATATAGCTAGTGCTAAAAATAAACGTGATTGGCCGATTTGTGGTCGCCGACTGATTTAAACAAATGCAATATGTATCGGGCAACAAATAAAAAACTGATGTTGCCCGGTCTGACCGGCTACTCAGTTCATAAATGCTCAAAATGGAGTGAAAAGTTTAGAAAGAAAGTTTTTCCAGTTTACGAAAAGAATGCAATGTCTTACATACAGGGAAGAAAAACACTCAACAGGCAACAGGAAATGCTTCTGAAACACTTTTTAACGTCTATTTACATTAAAGAGTTTTATTCATGAAATATAATTGTTTGGGGGAATTTCGCTATATAGTTTTCGCTATATAACAAAACCCTCGGGAAATAGTTTGTTTCATCGGGATAACAAAACAAACTATTTCCCTCGGAAACAACAGACATTAAGTGGTACATTATATTTTTGTCCATTTCAGGCTACTTTGCTTGGTCTCTGATGGATAATTTTGAATGGGCTAGTGGGTATCACGAGCGTTTTGGGATTCATAGGGTTAACTTTAGTGATCCCGAAAAGAAACGAATTCCTAAACAATCAGCAAAGGTGTACGCAGAGATTGTCGCTAACAATGGCTTTCCAGCTGATAAACCAGAACCACCAGTTAGTGGAACCTCAACCGGGAAGAATGAATGTGCTATTTTGATGGCGATGCTATTCCACGTTATTTCTTTTATTCAGATTTGAAATACCGGACCTAAATAGCAACGGACTTGACAACCTATATGTACCATTCTATAAACTATGATTCTTTTATACCAGCATATTCTTATGCTATTGTAATTTCGTGTATTGTAAGGCACTTATAAAACCTTGCTATGCACAGGGATCTAACCAAAATATTGGAATATTTTCAGTACGTTTAGCCACTGCCAAAGGGGGCTAAAACCGGTTACAAACGAGAAGTTTTCGATGACAACTTTTCATATGGCAAGTTGCCAATTGCACGCGTGTACGTCACTGATCTGTAAAACATGACTGGATGGCTAGTACACCTGCTGTGAATCTAATGAATTAGTCCAGTCAATCTGTGTCCAGAGGTCGAAGAAATTGCAATATAATTTTACTCAGTGGTAAAATGTGAGGGAAGGTGTCCTGATTAACATACTAAAAATAAAAAAAAATCCCTGCGGTGGAACATGGTGAAAATCAAGTTTTTCTTACTTCTGCCTATAGAAAACCATTGTGGACAGAATGTTCAAATTTTGAAATCATTTTTAGGCAAATGTAACCTACATTATTGGAAAGCTTAAACAAAACTATATTAAGGTCAATTAAACCGTTATATTCAATTTACTGGTCAGTTATTCTAGCTGAAAGTTGAAAAAATAGCGCAAAATTTGCACAAAATACACATGGCATTTTAAATCTTGTATAACTTCGGCTGGATAGGCAAAAGCAAGGTAACCGTTTAATTATCTATATTTTAGTTTTTTCTAAGCTTTACAATGATGCATGTTATATTTGCAAAAAAAAATTTCAAAATTTCAACATTTTGTCCGCAATGATTTTTTTCTATTGGTAGAAGTATTAAGAAAAACTTAATTTTCACCAAGTTCCACCGAAAGGACTTTTTGGGATTTTTAATATGTTAATTAGAACAACTTTTCACACACTTTACCACTGAAAAAAAATCTATTGCGATTACTTTGATCAGGACCATGTACTTATAGTGATTTGACTGGACTAAATATCAAGATTTTGGACATCTACACGACTACACTAGCTAGCTTATCGCAGAAAGTTCCTGCTGATGCAAACTTCGATTGTGAATTTTATACATTTATTGGAGGGCCTATAGTTGCATTTTTCACCACTGTTTCTGGTTAGGTCCAATAAATGTACATTCGAAGTTTCCATCTGCAGATCTCTTCTACATCCGCTATGCGTGAATAAAACCAATGGCGGCCATATTGATGTGATCACTACGAATCTTGACTGTGGTATTCAGGGTATTGATGTTGGAAGAGCAGTCTAGTAGTTTATCGTTGTTGTTGGAAAAGAACATATACTATCGATAGATAGAAATTTGTCATCAGTGGCCTTTCTTTCGTCTTAAAACTGCTGGTAAAAACTAAAAAAGTCACACGAATATGGCCTTCTCGAGTATTTTAAAAACGTTCTAAAACTCGTTACAAGGGGTGTGTTAAGCTACATCTTTCACGTTACATGGGCAAAGACATCTGCTTGATAGTCAAGCTTATTTTAATACCTAAAAATTTGAAACTTGGATAATTTGACAGATTTAAAAATCTCTTCTCATTACAAATATTCACGCTTCAAATTCAAAAGGATACTCCATCCGGTCCAGATTTGGAGATCAGTGGTGTACGTAACGTACAATAAATTTTCTATGACACAAGCCTTGGTTTTCTGATAGCTATTTGATCGCGATAGCTATTATTAGCTAATACAACAATAGATCGCTGGTCAGTCGCATGCAAGCGCTCAGAATACTTCGCCAAATTTTCTCCGTTGACCCGTACAGACGAACAAAATTTGTACTTTGGCAATTTTTTCTATGACAAGTGCATTTGTTCAAAAGCTAGTGTATTCGTCAGGATCGTAGTAAATAAAATACTGTACCTATTTTCGAATACTGTACATTAAAACAAGCTTTCTCTGGCAAGTATAGTTCAGACATAGAAAAAATGTTTAATGTTTTTTCGGATTTTTCCAGGCCAGGAATAGTGTAGTTTATAATAATATATATAGTGCATATGTTACAAACTATGTAGATTAGGGGGTGATAACATCGGGGCATTTTACATGATTAATAATGAACTTATAGGGTTGTTGTAATTTGGGTGTAAAAAATATCTAAAAACGTACAAATTTGTGACTCATGATTTGTGTTACTTGTGACAAAAAGGGAACCGTGACACATAAATTCCTAAGGGGCGGACCATTACAAATCCCGGGAGGGGGGGGGGGTATAAAATTTTTGCGGCACGAATTTTTTTTTCAGTTCATGTCTCTGCAGGATTTTTTTTTAATGCATTTAATTAACCTCTGCACGAATTTTTTTTCATGACTATTTATACTTTGCTGTTTGATTGCACGAATTTTTTTTCTCTGATGTAATGGCCAGACATTTTTCTTTAATTGCACGAATGTTTTTTGGGGAATTTACATCCCCCCCCTGGGATTTCTCATGGTCCGCCCCTAAATATGGATAAACAAGATGATGAATTTGCAGGGCGTAACTCCTGGGGTGCGTGTGTGGGGGAGGGAGGTACGACATCCCCCTACCCAATGTCGTAATATTGCAGTTTTGTCGGGCAATTTTTGCAGTTTTAACGACACGCTCGTCGGGCAAAAAATATGTAATTCAGCGGAAATTTTACATGATTTTTTGAAAAGTAATAATTGTAGGAAATAGATTAACGAATATATCACTGAAATACCGTACAAATTTCGGTAAGTTAGTGAAAAATTATATGTCCGAAAATTTTTTTCTCCCCTCCCTCGCTCGCCAACAATTTTGGTAAAAGAAATATTAATTAGCGCCTGAAATGTCCGTCAGGCACGACTTTCGCCACGCCCTTTTGGTTGGGCAAAACAAGCTCATACCCCCAGCCTTAATACCCAAGTTACGACCCTGTGAATTTGTATGGCTAATTTTCTAGTATAGTTTACTGTATAACAATAACAGCTCTCGTATAGATATAAAGTTTGCTCGTTCACTGCAACCAGGTATATCAATCATGTTTCGCTCGCTACTCTGGTTTAAATAAATGATTACAAAGCCCAGTCGAATTGTAATCAAGACCCAACGTTTCGACACTCCAGTCTAGTGTCTTCATCAGGGGTGATCTAAAACTGCGATCGTGGCTTCTTAAATACCCAAGGGATGACGTCACCTGCCAAGAAGATGCATATATTCTTCTGGCAAATAGGCGCCGTCATCCCTATTCAAAGCATGATGACTCATATTTATATGCCACGCTTCTAGGCAAAGTCTTTGACCATAGCGATTGTTTGTGGTAATTACTTTAGAGTTCTCCCACGCAATCTCGTGTTTGGTGTAACATACATGTTCGGCTAAAGCTGATTTTCCCTTGTCTAAAGTTGAAACAACCTTTTGATGTTCTTTTAGCCGTGTACCAAACTGGCGTTTAGACTGACCCAAATACTCTTTGTCGCAGTCACCGCATGGTATAGAATATATAGCATGAGTCTTCTGATTTTTTTCAACAGAATCTTTTGGCTTTGCGAAAATATGGCCTAAAGTCAAATAGGGTTTTAAGGCAACCTTAATATTACAATTACTTAAGATTCTCTTGATTGGTTCTGTGACACCTTGAATGTATGGAACTATTGCAAAACCCTTAACAGAGGTATCACCCTCGGAGTTATTTTGGTTCCTACAAACAGGTGGACTCAGGCAATCATTAAGAAAACGCTTTGGGTAATTGTTTTCCCCTAAAACATTTAGAACATATTCACGTTCATTAGCTTGAGAATCACTGTTTGACGGCAACGATTCAGCTCTTTGAAGCAAAGGTTTTGCTACGGATCTTTTATGGC